TCTGAATTTTGGTTAGCTCTGAATGTGGCCAGCGATTAATTTGTGAACCTTCAAAAATAAAAACCTGAAGGGCTGGAAGAGGCAATCAGAATTGTTGCAGTACTAGAACTAACCATAGAGGGCCTGTGTAGAGAGCAAAGAAAAACCTGCGGCTGGCCCATGCCAACTGACTCGGTCTCAGGCCTGGTCTACACTAGGACTTTAATTCGGATTTAGCTGCCTTAATCCGAATTAACCCTTCACCCGTCCACACTACAGAGCCAGTTAATTCGAATTAAAGGGCCCTTTAAATCGATTTCTGTACTCCACCTCGACGAACGGAGTAGAGCCTAAATCGATTTTGTTAATTCGAATTAGGGTTAGTGTGGACGCACACCACCGAATTACTGTGTTTAAGTTAATGGGGTAGTGTGGCCGCACACCACCGAATTAATGTGGTTTAAAACCGAATTAAGGTGCTTAGTGTGGCCGCGCACAATCGAATTTATACAACCTGTTTCCCAAATTCGAATTATCTAAATTCGGATTAATCCTGTAGTGTAGACATACCCTCAGAAGGTTCGGGTTGTGGGGCTGTTTCACTGATGCGTAGACTTCTGGGCTCGGGCTGGTCGCCCGAGCTCTGGGGTCCTCCCACTCTGCAGGGTCCTAGAGCCTGGGCCCCAAACAGAGCCCAGAAGTCTACACAGAATGAAACAGCCCCACAGATTGAGCCCCACGAGCTGGAGTCAACTAGCACGGGCCAGCTGCAAGTGTCTAGTTGTTGTGTAGACATACCCAGAGTTTCTGCCTCCTCCCCCTACTGGTGATGGCCCCTGCCCCGTGCGGGCAGTAGAGGGCAAAGCGGAGCCACTGGGTGGTGGGCAAGGAGAGGCCAGCCTCGAGAGGCAGCAGCTCCCAGGGTGGCTGGAGGGCTCACAACCATTCCTGCTCTCAGCCGCCGCACGATCCCACACAATCCAGGGCTGTCAGACCCCCTGGAGTATTAGCTACACAGCCCCCCCCCCCCGGACCGGGACTTGGCAGTGCTTCTCTGTTTCCATCTGGACAACTCCATGCTAATAGTGGGCTGCAGTGCCTATTGCAGCTGCACAGGGCCTCAGGGAAAAAAGGGTTGGGAACCCCTGTAATAAAGCACTCCTTTTCAGCTTAGTCATAGTGCAAACACCTGAAATGCCATAATGTTCATGTTAGGTTATGCTTGTGCATTTAGTGCTCACAAAAGGTACTGGCTTAACAACCCTGCTGACTGAAACCTTCTGCCCACAGAACAGCTATGGTGTGGAAAGCAGCAGAGCAAACTTCCCCCTTCCCCCGCGCTGCCCAACCAATGTCCTTCAACCTTTGCCTCAGAGGGACCATCTCAAAATGCAAGAGGATTTCTTGAGCAGTCTCCAGGCTCATTCAAACTGCCAACAAGAGTCACCTGGTTGAAAGGTGAAAACTATGGGGTGAGTTGTGCAGATCTCAAATTATACACTCTGCCCAAGTTCCTTACAGCTGCAGGAACCAGAATGACTCCTGGGTGGAACCAGCAATGTCCCATTATCAGAGGATCACAGGCTACAGTGGGTTATTTTGTTCTTTTCATCATTGTTTCAAAGCTAAGGGCTGCCTAAGGCAGTAAAATGCTGTAGGAAAGAGTGAGAAGGTCAAAAGGATTCATTTAGTAGGGGAATGAAGCACCTGGAAGTAAAGCAAGGGCCACAGAGTGGGAAATTGATACATGGTACAAACCTAATCAAACTTATTAACCACTGAGAGTGAACTGCAGACAGTAGCAGGTGTGTCTTTGAAACTGATTTTTATCAAAGGGGTTTGCTGTCTTTAGCCATTTAAATGTATTGCTAGAAAACAACCATAATCATCCCACTTAGCCTTTATTAGTGGGATAGTTAAAATGGATTCTGTTGCCCTGCTCAGGTTTTAAAAGAAGCAGAGTAGAGTTTTTCCTTCCCTTTGTATGTAATAGTAGGTAGGAGCTATTCAAAAGGGTTTCTATGAGGGCTGTTATGAAATGAGACTTAAACAGGACATTGTCAAGATTAGGATGGTTAGATCCCTTTCCTTCTGGTTTGATTTTATCTGCTTGCAAATTCAATATTCTTAATGGGTGATTTAGATATAACTAATGTTTTTAATCTTGTCTC